AAAAAAAAAAAAGAGAAGAGAAGAAAGAGTGTCCAAAACAGGAGCCTGCAAACAGTATTTCGTACGTTCAGATACAAAATGAGAAAAATTATCATCCTGCGCCTTCGATTGTCATTGCCAATACAGTTGAAAACGAACATTGAATAGAGCCCACTAACCATTAGAAAGTCAAATGAATGTTGTGAAAACAAAGCTTTGCAAATACAATTGTACTGGTATATAACCAGCTTTAGGGTAGTCCCACACACTTGTAAATGTCTCTTATTCACAAGTCAGAGAGAAATCACTGGATTCCCCCATCCATGCTAAAGAGAGGTTAGTGACAACATCTGACTGAATGCAGTCAGTCACTCTTCAGGCAGCAATTTTCCACCCAGCTCCTTCCATTTTCAAATCAACTTTCTTCTACCCGCATGGTGCCAAAAGGGCCACCTACGGCTCAAACGTTGGCCAATACAGCTAAAATACAAGCAGTGTATAGCTAGTTTAAGAATATCTGAAAGAGAGTAAAGAACCAGAAGGAAACAGCTGAAAGAGAAAGAAAAACATGACCCAAAAAAGCACACTAATAAAAGGTGTAAATGACACCAAAATCTGTGGAAAATAATTGGAAATAAACGATAGTAAAGGCTCCATTATACCAAAACTTGTATTTCAGCGGTCAGATGTACTTTAGGGAGCTAAAGTATCCACAGTCATGATCTGTGGTACTCTGTGGTGCCAAGTTAAACTACGGACAATCCAGGAGGACTCCAAGGTGGGGGAGACCTTACCAACAGAGCCCCTCTACGGTGAAAAAGCCGGACGACAATTCAACTTTCCTACACAAATTAAATACTGAAATAGTCTGAATGTATGAAAGAGAAGATGACCCTCTTGTGGCTGACATGATAACCAAGGCCACATTACACTGGGTACAGGGCACATAATAGAGGCAGAACTCTGGTATTATTTTATATACTGGGGCATATTACACACACATAATGTGTCACAGTGATATCAAAAGGTGTATATTTATAAAAGCAGTGATTGTGACTTTCACCATTCACTGGTACTTAACCATTCATCAAAAAAGAAAAAAAAAGCACCCTGAAGATTCACCTGCAGTGAATGCGTGAATGTCAGATTCACTGCTTTATAAATATGCCCCTAAGGCCCCGTTCACACCTTTCCGTTTTGTCGGGCGTTCAACGCTCTATGAACGCTCTACAAAACGTACAACCATGAAAATCCCATTGTTTTCTATGGGTATGGTTCACACCTTTCCGCATTTCCGCCCGTCTGAACGCCCTACAAAACGGCTGACGCCAAAACAAGTACATGTACTTCTTTGGGACGTTTTGGAGGGCGTTTTCCATTGAAATACAGCCAAGTAGCCTTCGGAATCGCGCGACGGTCGCGCGATTTTTTTTACCGCGAATCGCGGTAAAAAAACGCGTGACGGTCGCGCGACAGACGTGCATGCGTAATACGCCTAGGTGTGAACCCAGCGTAAGAGTTTCATTTTAGCACAAATTGGAATCCGGTTTATAAAACTATTTCATGATGGCATTACAGGTAGAGTGGTCTCTAACAACCAAAAGACTATTGTGCTATATTTCATAGAATGGTGGATACAATACTGGAATTAAAATAGATCAGTTACCCAGAGCAACCAATCAAATAATAAAAGAATCTACTTGGTTGCTTTTGGCAAACTTTAGGCTACTTAAAAGAACAAAAGCTACAGGGTGACAAGTAATCATATACATCATAATGTATTAGCATAGCAGCTGAAATCTGATCAAACAGACAATACATGCCAAGAAAATAGGTAAGCACTTACAAAGAAACTTCAAAGATCTAACTAGGAACAGTAAACTCTAGGGGGAAATGTATTTGGACAGACTGCAAACTGTTAATGATCCAAAAGCAGCAGTCAACCTTGTTTCAAATAACAGAAAACAAAAGAGAACAAGTCTTGTGGCAGTGAGAGCTGAGCCAGGTGGCGACCCCTGCAGTATCCGGGCTTTAAGAACAGCTAGTGCTTGAAATTTTTGTCCTCCATTTACACACAGGCCACATGTAGTGTAAGCAGCTGCAGGGCTGCTGGAACTTTCCCACAATGCTCTGCCAAAGTCTGCAACCCCTGACCTACACAAAGATCACAAACATGGAAACAAGGTGCCTCCACTGCACCCCCCTGTGGTCCTTCTATGAACAGCTAGAATTAGTAGCTAAAAGTCATTAAAGAAAACACACACACACACACCTTATGGGCATATCCCTAAAGTGGCAAATGAAGGGCTAGTTGATCATTCGTTGTAGCGCTCACACATTTACCAGACTAGGCTATGCTTGTAAACATTGGTGACACATTCAGCATTCCCATTCCTCAACTGCAATGTTGGAACTTTGTTTTTTTTGTGTGTGGTATTTAAAAAAAAGTACAGACAATATTTGTGTACTACGGTGTCCCAGTGTTCATGAAGCACGAGATGGTGTCAGTGACTCGCTTATACAGACCAGGACACCTACTGATAGTGGCTGCACACACCAAACAATGCCCACTAAGAACACCACTGCAGGATGTATGAGCTATGTCCTCAGTACTAGAATGATGTTTTTGAGGGTGTGTACCTTGTATATCCTAAATGCCTTACACTGCCTAACACAATCATTTTGATTGGCTTTGCCCCTTGCTCTCACCATAGATTAAAGTCACAACACTGCGCAGCAGCTATTGCAGGAGTATGTTCAGGGACTGTTATCCTTCTCCTCCCTTCCCTACTTGCTTTACCTTGTAGATGAGAATACTGCAGTCTTGCAAATACATTGCCTACACCTGTACAATGGTCGTCTCTATGCTGGCTCTTCCAATAGGAGACTGCCATCTTTGGGGTACTAATGTGTGTGAACAGCTCATTTATTTGTGCAGAACATGCTCACAGTAATAATGTAGGAGGACAGCAACTTCCCAGCATGCACTAGAAATGTTCTGGCCCATCAGGTGACATTGTCACTAAAAATTCCAACAACTGAGGAAAACTGCATTTATAAACTCAAAGTAGGAAGGGCAACATGTTTATATCTATCACACTTAACTCTAACTATAAATGGTATATTCAACAACGCGGTATGACCGATTAGATTCAATCATGCAGTAGGACTGTGACCAGCTCATTGTATATAGGTGTAAGGACAGAAGGCACTACCTGACCTCTGGTCATATTGCTCACCGTCTATGATAACTTTCCTAGAAATAGTGCAATTCAAAATTTCAAAGAAAACTTTTAAAACATTGTTTTTCAAACATTGCTCATGCTTTCCGAGGTATGGCCTCATACATGGGGTAAAGGTCAGCTCCTCAAAAAGTCACATCAATTTCTCATATGTAGCAACCAGCCTGATGCAGGTTAACACGAAGATGTAAACCTTTGACTTGTATCATAGAATATCCTGTATATTTATTAAAACTGTAGTGGTCTAGCAGTCTTCAACATCAGGCTTCAGTTTTAAACTAAAGAAAAAGTAATGATAAATTACCTCATTGTTTATGTCGAAGACTCCTTCCTGGATTTTTTCATAAATTTCTTTTGCTGTGTTAATAAATGCCTACAAAAGAAAAAGAGACAAGTTCAATATTCATATAGTTATGAGAGCACTGACACAGTGTGACACTGAGCGGCTTAATCCATTAAAGGAGAACTATGGGGTCAGTGTTTTTTCCCATAGTTCTCCTTAGGGTAACGGGAGGAAACAAACTAGCGTCCTCCCGTTACCCTCAGCTCAGTATACCGTGAGCTACAGCTCGCGGTATACTGAGACGCCGCAGCTGGAGCGGATCCCGACGTAGATGACGGGATCCGCCCAGCTGCGTGAGTGACAGCTGGCTCTACCTATCTAGGAGGCAGAGCCAGCTGTACCCGCCCCCTCCCCGTCCGTTATGCCAGTCAACGCTGGCAGATCGGAGCGGGGAGGGGGGAATCCAGCCCCCCCCCTGGCTGAGAGCCCTGACAGGATCGAGAGGTGAGCGAACGCCGGTATGTGTTCGCTCACCTCCCGATCTACTGAGCCGACCTGTGACAGTCTCATTGTCACAGGTCGGCTAGAACTATGAGGCGAGTGGAAATCACTCATCTCATAGTTCTCCTTTAAGAATCGTAATGGGTACATATGTTGTAACCAATGAGATTTTAGTTTTCAGAGAATATACGAAGTATATTCAGCATTTTCTGCAGAGTGTGCTTTGCTCATTAACATCGGTCCCTGTCCCACAAGTCCTCCCATTCAGTTTTCCCATCACACTACAGGACCAATTCTGTGTCAAGTCCAAAAACAACCAGCAGATCGTAGAAGTGATAACTATAAGGGCTCCTTCACACAATGAATCTTGCTGTCTTTTCAATCACAGAGTACGGGTGCAATGATCTGCATTTCGGCATTCAAGTCAACTAAATGAAATCCTAAGCACAAAGAATGTCAACATGTGGGAAAAGCAACATATTCATTGCATGTATTCATTTGGTGTGATCCTGGCCTAACTCTAGCCACCAGACAGCAGCTGATCAAATTGTGCATTCATGGCCAGCTGGCTTCTTGACCATCGTAAATGCATCAGTCTGAGTGCAGGAAGATTGTTCACGTGACAAAGCACTGTACAAACATGCAGGTTCAAATTGGGCAAGATAAGGGGGAGCAGCAGAATGATTGGTCTCCCTAGGACAGGGATGTCCAAACTGCGGCCCTCTAGCTGTGGTGGAACTACGAATCCCATGAGGCTTTGCAAGATTCTCACAGCCACAGACATGACTCCCAGAGAGAGATGCTTCATGGGATTTGTAGTTTCACCACAGCTGGAGGGCCGGAGTTTGGACATCCCTGCCCTAAGAGTTTGATACATAGGTGAATACATGCTTTATGAAACTCATATTTAATGCAAATATGTCAGAGCCACGCAAGCATGAATTTATAGCCTTGCTTTCACCTCTAAGGTTACGTCAAACTGTCTAACGTGTGCACACGTGTGAGATTTATTTGCCTCTGGCAAAGTAGAATTCACAATTCATACCCAAAAATAATGAATCTAAAAAGGCAACACAGAGTATAGTTTGCTGGACTTCACCTTCTACTAAATATTTTTCAGATAAAACCGGAGTAGTATTAATACTTGTTGGTCAAAAAAACAGCAGATGAGCCCTACACCTCAAAGGACTGGCATTGGTTTGACATTCAGTCCTTCACTACCAGGCCTAGGATATAACGCACACCAATTTAAATCAGGACTTTACAGGGGAGTGTGTGCCTTTGCAATGTACCATGAGAGATGTATAAAGTATTCTAGGTTAACGGGAACAAAAATGGTTCAGCCTGCTGTGGAGAAAGAAAGATGAAGGACTTGTCAGGGGGGAGTATCGTCATCTCTGTCATCTCTAGAAGTAATAAATACCTTCCTTAGTGTTACACATCACATAGCCATGCATCACAGCACTCAAAGCGCTGAACTCCAGGCTACATGGTGGACTGGAAACACATATGGGAGTGGTTGTACCTGCCAAAGAGCGTGTATTTTTCTCCATCCAGTCCTGGGGCATACACAGGGCTGCCAGAGAGCACAACCAACCTGAATTTTCTCTACCGCAGTTAAAGCAGAAGTATCATCAGTAAGTGTCATCTCAACATTTCTAGGTTCTCGGAAGTCCTCTTTGGCCCACTGAGCAGCCAATGGTGATGTAACAACTGCGCATGTACACAGGAGTTGCATTCTCCTTGGCATCTTAGACCCTGTTCACACCAGGGCACAGTGAGAACACACGTTCCCGCACGTTTGTGTGGCTTTGTGTCCTGCATTTGGCACGCATTACTATTGAGCCCCATTGGGTCCCTTGACACGCACCAAATGCAGAAAAATAGTACATGTTGCAAATTTGGTGACATGCATACCGCGTTTTCCACCGCACATTCACTTGCACGAAAAAAAGGAAATGCATTTGTTCGGTTGTGTTTGGGGTGCCATTACTTAGTAACGTCGTCACTGTGTTTGCTTGATGAAGGGACCATGTTCGGTTTCCGAAACGTTGCTCATTGCACTGTGTCACTAGGTTTGCTTAGCGTCTCAATAAAAAGGACGTTAAGCACATTTGACCTTGGAGCGTGGGTGACTTTTTCAATATTCATGTGATTTGTGCGGTGCCATCCGCAGGCCGTACCAGCACCCACTTGTTCTATGGGATTCCGGTCTGGAGTGCGGTGGATCGATTACTACACATATACTTAAAAAGTAGAACTATGAGGTGAGCAATTTCCACTCATCCTCATAGTTAGAGTTGACCTGTGACAAAGAAGCTGTCACAGGTCGGCTCTATCGATCGGGAAATGAGCAAACAGCTTGCCGCGCTCATTTACTTTCCGATCATCTCCCTGCAGGGATTCCCCCCCTCCCCTCTTCTATCATCCAGCGCTGAGTGGAGGAATGGACAGGGGAGGGGGCGGGCACAGCTGGCTCTGCCTCTAGATAGGCAGAGCCAGCTGTCACTCACGCAGCTGGATCTCTACTACTCACTAGTATTGTCGGGATCTGTCTCGGCTGCGGCGGTCTTAGTATATCGCAGGCAATAGCCCGCGATCTACTGAGTTTAGGGTCACGGAAGGAGGTTAGTACATGTCCTCCCTTGACCCTAAAAGAAACTATGGGGAAAACCACCCCATAGTTCTCTTTTAATAATGGCAACGCAAGTGCGTTCCATGTTTGTGCACCTATCATGAACGTGTGTAGAAGTGCACACTTATGCGCACGTTTGACACACGTCCACGATATGCCCTGGGGCCTTAGAGATACCGATAATGGGCTGCGTGTGTACACTGCATGGCATATGCACCGCACAGTGTACATAGTGTGTTAAAGAAAATCCCCGGGGAAGAGAGAGGAAAAGTTGTTTTTGGTAAATGAGACTTTGCATGTCTCTTCTGCCCAAAAACACCACCAACAAGCTATTTTTTAAACATTTTTTTCACTTTAAAGCTGAACTCCGTGCACAAAAACATTTATATAAATATTTCCCTCAATAGCCACAAATGAGCTAAATCCACTGCGTGCACCAAATGCCTCTGCAAACCAGGTTATTACATTGTAAAAGGAGCAGTGACATCATGAGTGTGCTGAACATAACCCGTGCAGAGTAGAGCTGTAGGAGGGACCCAGCACATGAAAACTGCAACACAGCTGACTGGCTCCTAGTGCTGCCCCTTCCTCTCCTACCCTGTGTGCTGCAGTACAAGGGATTAGAAGATCTAAATTCTAAGCCTTATTCAGGTACAAACACAACTTGCATTAACAACAACAACAAAAAAAGAAATGTAAGGAACACATAATTGCCTTAACTGGTGTTTCATCTGATTGCAGTTCAGCTTTAGGATAAGGGCTGGTGCACACCTAAGCGATTTGTCACGCAAATCACAGATTTGCGTCGAAGTCAACGGAGGCTGCTCACACCTTTGCGGTTTGTCACGCGAAAAGGTGCAGGCGCTATTTTCGGTCGGTTGTCGCGTGGTTTGGGTCCCATAGACACCTCTATGCTTTGAAAAACGTGCGACAATCGCGCTGTTTACAATGAACAACCACGTAAAAACAGCTCGCCAGCTGAATCGCCTAGGTGTGAACCTAGCCTAAAAATATATCTAAAGCTATAACTGAAGCAATATCAGCATTAACTGCTTATAGTTTATATTGAAGAAATCAGGAACATTGTGATCTCCACAGAACAACAAATGCTATGCATGAATATATAAAAACATACAATAAAAGCAGCATGCGCTATAGACAGAGCGTCTGTAAACCAGAGGCAGCACATGCATGCAGCAATTTAATTGTTCTATATGACGAAGGTGTTATCCTGCCACCGTGGCTTACAGCACACATGATACAAAAAGGTTCTACCAGGGAAAGCGTTAAATTGGGCTTGGAAGCATTGATTACCCAGCCCGGAAATCATTCCTGAATTGTCGGGGCAGGTGGCTGTATTAACCAATGGTGAAATGACAGAGCAGCTATGAAGTCACTGCAGTAACAGATAGCAGGCACACATTTACGAGCTGCCTGCTGCCGAACTAGAGCCATTAAATATTAATGGTGACCTTACTAACATTGGGCAGCAGACACTAGAGATGTTACGCTTCAACAGAGTGCACTAGGGGAAGATGACACTTGCAATGGTTTATGTTCTAGAGCGAGCAGCACCACTTAGTGGCAATATTTGCAGGGGAATAGATGTGTGTACGTCCTCCCGGCTCAGCCTTGGAATAACACACAAATGCAATTATGTATTTCTGCTGAGCAAAATCTGCATACATACGCCAACTGCAAAGTTAACAATTCCTATTAAAAAAATCAGCACTCCGTACAGGTCTAAACCACAAAAATTAAATCTTGAGCTTTTACTGGGATAAAGAGCAGCCAGATAATTTTTGTAGGGTGTCATGTCCATTTTCCTTCAGCTCCAGAGCTTATCTAAAACAATGTGATCAGCTCCGCTCCAGGAAATGGAACAAAAAACCTTGACAACCCTATCCCATATCACATTTCCTGTACAACGTTACACTGGCGAGAAGCCCCTTCT